ATGGGATGGGATGGGATTGGGATGGGATTGGGATGGGATTGGGATGGGATTGGGATGGGATTGGGATGGGATTGGGATGGGATGGGTGCAGGCCTCATTAGAGCTGCTGGGAATTGTGTGTAACACACACAGAAAACATCTGCAAGCCTCTTATCCCTCTAAACACAGCTTGGCTGCATCCTGAGGAAAGGTAAGGAATTGGCTCCAAGGGCTCTGTAGAATTGATTAATGATGGTGTGGGAGCATCAAACCCAGCTGGTTAGATTGTATTTCATATTTACTGCACCCCTCTCACTTCAGGTTTCTCCAGAAGAAAGGCAGCATCTGTGCAAACCCAGGATTTATATGGAGATCCTGACAGCACTGGAAATCTTCCCTTTTGGGGAAGATTTGGGGTTCAGCCCCTCAAGACACCAGGACCTTCTCCATGGAGAAACAGGAGCAGAGTTACACCCAGAGGGAAATTCAAACTCCTTTTGATTCTGCCATTCCACACACAAATTTCAGTTGAGGCAAATGTCTCCTCGATTTACCAATCTCATGGTTCTAGTACTGACTGAGGCAAAATCAGAGCTAATCTTAAAACAAACAAACAAACAAACAAACAAATAAATAAATATAATTTTTATGGCCTGTGTGTTTGACTGTTTTGTGGGTCTTCCACATACTGGTGGCTTTTTTTAATTTTCCAAACAGAAAAAGCAGGACAGGTGAAAAAAAAATAAAAAAGAAAAAAAAGGCAGGAAAATGACAACACAAAAGGATGGAACAAAGAGCTCCAACAGCATCAGAAATGTTTTTATCTGGAAAAGAATAAGCCCTAAGCTCTAGGCTGGCAAGTGAGCCTCTAAGAGAGCCGGGAGAAGGAGAAGCAGGGGAGATGGAGAAGTGGAGGCACTTGGAACATTAACTGATGAAGTGCTCTGGAATTAAGCTATGAGTAGCTGCCCTCCAAGGAGCCAGGAGGCTGAAGAAGCCTTGGCTCTGCAGCCTGGTTTGGTGATGCAGAGAAGCCCCAGAAGCCGTGTTCTCCTCGAGGGCAGGATCAGAGCATAATGTGTTTTAGTGGCGATGGAATGCGGCAAACGTGGGAAACAACCAGGGCTTGGGTTGTTTGCCTTTTAAGGTGGAAGTTGGGGCAGGGACCCCTGTCCTGGGGAGGGGACAACTCAGTGGGACACAGCAGAGCATCTCCTGGCCCTGGCTGTGTCCATGGAATATTTGCCTGCTCCCACATTCTCCTGGTTTGACTGAGCTCACGTGCATCCCACTGATTCTACAGGGACTGATGGGCCAGGGGACATTTCTGGGGCTGAAAACACAAATCTGACATCCCAGCACTGGGACTCTGTGCATGTCCTGTTACCAGATAAGAAACCAGAGCTTTTCCTGCTTTATGCCTTGTTTGACCTCAAAACAGCTCTTCTCCCATGAAAAAAAATCCTTAATTGTGACTCAGTCAAATTCCTTTCCACTAGGCTTGGCTGGAAATCTTCCTTTAAATAAATGACTTTGGTTCTCCCAAGCTCTGGGGTCAGCATGGGAGTCTCCAGAGTGGTTCATCTCCATGTGGGGACAAAATTCACCCTCTGGGGCAAACCTGTCCTGGAGAGGCCAGAGATGTGCAGATTCACCCCCTGACAGCTCAGGGCAGCATTTTAGGGATCTCTCAGCTCTGGGGGTAAGGCTGCACTGCTGGGGGACAGCAACAAGGGGACACCCAAAATGGGGACACCTAAAATGGGGACTGGGGAAGAGACTACAACAGCTCTCCCTNCGGCACCTCAGGACTGAGATCCTGAGATCCGACACAGGACCTCTGTGGCAACCCCATGTGGGGCAGCCCAACCTCATCTCCACAGGGTAGGGCTCAATCCTGGAATCATTTATGATGGAAAAGACCTTTAGGATCGAGTCCAACCATTAACCCAGCACAGCTGAGCCCAGCAATTGGATGGGTTGTAGCACTCGCTCCCAAAAAAGACATAAAAGCACCTCTAAACTCCTGGTGGAGTTCTCTAAACTCCTAATAGCCTTTTATGGGTCTAAGAATCAGACTAAAATCATCTTTAATGTAGAAAATCAATTGTAAACCCCAAACTCCTTTTAAGTAAATAGATAAATCTCAAATATCCTGCCTGTGCTTTGGGCAGCGCAATCTGCCAGGGTAAAAGATTAATCCAATTTATCTGCCCAAAATGTGGAGGTTTTCAGGAGGCTCACCCCCTTTAAAATGTGAAATATGTGCTCCTCCAGCAAGCCTGAGATTCAGAATGGGAAGGGAGAGAAGTCCCTTTTCTCCCAAGGATGTTATGTCAGCAGGAGACACAAAAAACTTGAGGACAAACTTCTCCTGAGTGTTTCCAGAAGGAGGCTGGATGCCCTTTCCCTCTCCAGGAATGTGTTAAAAGTTCTAATCTGATTTTCCTCATTGCTCCATCAGTAAAAAAAAAATCTGTTTGTGCCAGAACAGAAGCGTTTCAATCTCAAATTACACGAGGAGCTTTTTCTGTCAAACATCTCAATCTTTCTGTCCCGTGGGCTCCAAGTGCTGCAGTTCCAGAGGGTGGGAATTATTCATGTTTTTACACCAGCAAGCTGGGGCTCAAAATAAATGCATGCAACACCTGCTTTGCCAAATTTTTATCTCCTGAGGGCATAATTTTCAGAGTTTAAACCCAAATCAAGCATCCAAGAAGAGTTAGAAGGAAAGGGAGGACGTGAGACACCTTTGGAAATTGTGGCTGTGCTTGTGCACCCCAAGAGCAGCACAGCCCAGAGCCCTCCTGGCGCTGCAAAAACAAGAATTCCAACCAAACCCTTCCTGCTTTGCCTCCCAGAATTCCTGAAAGCAGTTACAAAGATCTTTATCAAACCCTGAGAATTCCCAACCCAAATTTTCAGGATTCCTGAAAGCAGTTACAAAGATCCCTATCAAACCCTGCAAATTCCAATCCCAATTTCAAGAATTTCTGAAAGAAAAGCTCCTTATCAAACCCTGCAAATTGGATTTGGAAATTCCAATTTTCAGAATTCTTGAAAGCAGTTATAAAGATCCCTATCAAACCCTTCACATTTCCAACTGCAATTTTCAGAATTCCTGAAAACAGTTACAAAGACCTTTATGAAACCCTGCAAATTCCCAGCCTTAATTTTCAGAATTTCTGAAAGCAGTTACAAAGATTCTTATCAAACACTGAAAATTTCCAAACCAATTTCCAACCCCAATTTTCAGAATTCCTGAAAGAAAAGATCCTTCTCAAACCCTGCCAATTCCCAGCTCCAATTTTCAGATTTTCTGGAAGAATTACAAAGATCTTTATCAAACCCTGCACATTTCCAACCCAACCTGGCGCCATCGCTTGCCTCTCCCCACGTGAGGAATTGGGTGAGAGCAAAACCCCAGGGAGGCTTTTAAAACAACAAGCAGCACTTTTAGGCAGATAAATTGGATTAATCAGATTGATTTGACTCCTGGAGGTGCTGCAGCTTCCCCTGACTTCCAGCAGGATCACGGATTCCCATGGAATAATTTATTTCCAACTTAGGGAAGAGCACGTTGATGTCTCCCATATCAAGGACAACCCTCAAGCACCAGAAATCTGGGGGTGATCTGCTCTGGGGAAGACGGTGCTGGCCAAGCAGAGGAGGGCACAGAGGTGTCCCCAAGGTGTCCCCAAGGTGTCCCCAGGGCCAGGAGCCCCCACGTACCGCGCAGCCGTCGAGGGCAGGTCGGATGTAGGGGTTGTTGTCGTAGGACATCTCCTCGTCGTTGGAGCCCAGGAAGCGGATGGCCTTGTCGTAGCTGTTGGTGGTGGCATCGTGCCAGGCCACTGACTGGTAGCAGTTGTAGGTGATGTTCTGGCGGGCCGAGGCGCTCAGCAGACGCAGGAAGGTCATCTGCACCACCCCGATGGGGTTCCCGTCAGAGTCCACGTAGGAGAGCTGGGAGAGGGGACAAGGGACAACACTGGGCAGTGAGGGACAGGGAGACACAGCTGGGGGCTCTGAGGGACACCAG